TGGAGGTATTTAAAAGACATGTAGATGTGGTGCTCGAGGACATGGTTTAGTGGTGGCCTTGGCGGGATTAGGTTAACGGTTGGGCTCAATGATCTTAAGGGTCTTTTCCAACCTTAACGATTCTATGATTCTGTAATCTATAGTACTCCTTATTGGTGATGAAACCAATAGGTTTAATTGTGTTCTCTAACTGCTCCTGCTCTTAAGGTCTGTTTGATTTCAGGGGCATTCATTTGTTATTCCATTACAGCACAATAGCTAAGAGCCTAACTGTAGTTTTTTTCTGTAAGAATGCACATTATAACTTTCTATATATCCACAGGTTTTAGGACCTGCCCCAAAATGGTGTTCCTTCTTGGACAACTTGACTGAAGAACTGGAAGAGAATCCAGAGAGCACAGTTTATGATGATTACAAATTTGTTACCAGAAAAGACCTTGAAAATTTAGGTAAGACAGTTGAATCTTCTCTTTAGCTGACTTTTGTTCAGTTTTTTATCATTTACGCATGTAAGTTTTTTTGTAATTCCACGTGAAGTGTGAGGGCTGTTGGAAATTCTCTGGGAGTAGTTTCACCCAGCCTTCTTGGTTATTAATATACCAGACTGATGGCTTTATGTTCTTTGGTTCCCAACCAGTGCAACAGTAGATATTTGTGTTTCTCAGATTTTTATCTCAAGAAGAAGATTGATAATTGCTGATTTAGTATGTCTAGGAATCTGTTGTGTATGCTTTCAGACACTAAGTGGAAGGCATAGGAAGAGAAGTTGGTGTAGTTTTCAAGCTATTTTTGAGGTGCTCAAATAGTATGATGGAACTCACAGGAAAATTAGGAAGATTCACCTGCCAAAGGCTACCCTAATTGAATATAGTAATTTCCAGAAAACACAAATTGTACTAGGGCTAATAGAAACACAGTTTCAAGGAACTACAGTGCTGAAAATTATATAGCAGAGAAGGTAAGCATGCTTCTTCCAAGGTAGTTAGTCCTTTTTCTGTTCATTATGTGTTTTGATTGCAATGTTTTGCTCCAGTTCAATTTAATTAATTTACCTCTGAATATGGGAGTTGGGTTTGGCCTGGCAGGAGGCCATACAAGGAGGAGATCATCCAAAGCACCTGCATCTTCAGTAGGTGGACTGAATGTAGCCCGCAGACCCCTATCCCAGTCGTAAGGGAATAAGGCAATGTAGTATTATCTACACAGACACTTGACTGGGAATAGTTATTCTGCTTTAAATTCACTATAACTTAGTAAAATTCATTTCCCCGTAAATGCAAGCTTTCAAATGAAGAACCAGCTTAAGGGTTGCTTTGTATTTCATATGTCAGGGTTGCTTTGTATTACTAGCCATTAGCTGGAGTACTCTCATGTTGGAATATGCAGGAAGATTGTTTCCTGGAAACAGTTAAAAACATTTTTAGAGATAACTTTGCTTTCTGAGATGCACAGTGATTTCTAACTTTTTTTTTGCCGTTTATTTCTAGAAGTAGTTTGTTAATTCTTAACTTATAAGGATTTGGGGTCTGTAGAGGATATTTTGGTATAAAAAGCTTTTCCTTTTCTCAGTCTTGGAATTTTGTGAAGATACATGGGAGGAAAAGCAGAGAACTCTTAAGTATTTTCCTTCTTACTTAGGTTAGGGCCTAGGGTGACAGTTTTATGACCTGATGTGGTACTGTATTTTTTTTCAATATGTTGATTCTTCAAAGATAGTGACCCAAGGCAAAACTCTTTAATTGAAAACATCTCTATACCACACTAAAAAAAGTGATTGTCAAACATCTATGGACTTTCAAAAAAATCCTCTCGAATTTTTCTTTGTAAACTTTTATGGAGCATAGTGCATGTGGGCATTGTTAAAAAGTGCACAGTAACATGTATTATGACAAGAAAAATGGATTTTGTTGCTCTGAAGAAGCTCAAATTTCTTGCTGGCCACACTGCATTTTTTTTTTGCGGTTTTACTTAGTCTTGATGTAATGGATATGACTTAGATTGATGTGTTGCATTGACAGTGTTTGTTTGTCTTGAACTGGGTAAGTGAAGTGGCTAGTTTGGAATAGGAGTTCTTTATATATGAAAGCTCTTTGAAATCCTCTGTAACTTTTTTCCCAGGCCTTGCTCATCTCATTGGATCATCATTGCTCAGAGCATATATGCATGGCTTTTTCATGGACATAAGACTTTATCATAAGGTAAATAGGGCTGATGCTTGTCAATTTTTACTCTTAACAATAAAATATGTGTGTTGGGTTTTTGTTGAGGGTTTTTTTGTGGTGTTTTGTTTTGTGGTTTTTTTTCCTCCAAATAACAGACTGTGTTCTGTATTAATGGTATTTTCTTTTTATTTCCTCCTGCTTGTTCAAAGGCAAAAATGATGGCCAACCCCTTTGCCTATGAAGAATACAGAAGAGAAAAAATAAGGCAGAAGATAGAAGAAACACGTGCGCAGAGAGTTCAACTAAAGGTAAATCCTGTAAACAATTAATATACTTCTGGGAAAATGATTCATAAAGAGTAATATATTCTTAAGTATATCTCAAGAGATGTAACAAATTAGGATTTGATTCTGTTTGTCATCAGGGACCCAAAGTAATTTGTAGAACTTTTTGAATGGAACCGTAAAATTCCCATGCATGTGATTCCCACAGATGAGAAAGACTGATACCAAACTGTAAAAGAGCAGCTCTCATCACATTTGCCACTTGAGCAGATAACCCACTGGTAAAACTCGCAGTTTCTATTTCTGTCATCAAACTAAATGACTTAAGCCATTAAAACATAAAACATAATACTCTGGAAAGAGATATATATATATAAAAATAGTATTGTGTTTAGAACTAGTAGCTTTCTAGATTAAATTTGCTCAATATACAAGGAGAAATAATTGCTTTTAAAGTACTAAAGCTGATGCATTACAAGGAAAAAACAATACAGAAGTTCTGCTTAAATTTTCTCCAAGCGCTATTGCTTTACTAGTACCTAGAAATATTTGAAACCAGTCAAGGAGCTTTTCAGCAAGAGTTATAAGAATGAATAAGAATTCTCTCTTCCCCACACTTAGAAATGTAAAGCATGTAGGTTTTTGCATGTGTAAGAGTAACTTACTGATTAATTGCTTTCCTCTCTTTAGAAACTACCAAAAGTCAATAAAGAGCTTGCACTCAAACTGATTGAAGAAGAAGGAGAAGAGCAACAGGTTACTAGAAAAAGGAAACAGAAGGTAAGCTTTTGTTTTGGAGACTTCTCTAACTGGGAACACAGAAATAGTAATGCTTACAGTATTGATTGTTTTTGTTGTTGGTGGTTTTTTTTTTTGTTACCTGGCCAAACAGATTCAAAGTTTGATTGTTTCTGTTTCTCATAAATAACTTATTCTAGTAGGTGGCTTTAAGGTGGTCTTCACTGTAGCTGCAGCACCAAAAAGTCCATGTAGTAACTTAAAGCTTAAAATGACGAAATACTCACTGCGAAGATTCTATGGGCTTCACAGGACTCCAGAAGCTAGAGAAATGCAGAGTCAATGCCAAAGTTGTTCAAAAAAGACCTGTTGTTTGCATTTGTTGGTATTTTGGTGGTGACCATGACAAGATAGATGTTATCTGTAAAACTGAAGATACAATTGCCTTTCTTTGTGTACACAATTAACTACATTTTATAAAATAGCCAAAATGGTTCACTCTTATGCAACAGGAATTCTTCCTGGTGTTGAAAATAATCCAATTTTTATCTTAAGTGAACTCTAAAGGAAAAAATGAGCTAATGTTTAATATTGGGGAGGGGGGGCTTTCTATAGGTAGCACTTCATAGGTGCTCATTCTCACAGGAATATAACATTCATGAAAGGCAGGTATTAGCTTCATGTGGCATCTAATGAAATCCTGTGTGTTACAGTTAGCAGGAAGCATGAAATACTGAAAAAGTAGGTGGTGGTAAAACCTTAAATGCAGACTGTCTAAGCCAGTGTTACGATGGAAATATGAGATCAATAAATGGGGGCTGATTTTTCTAGGAGTATATATGGATTGTGTTATTAAGTGGACTAAAAAGAGTATACATAAAAATGCATGTCCTGGTTATTTTCCTGAAATGGCATTAGAGTCTTATGAAGAGTAATTTATTTTAGGCTTTGGGATTTAATTTTTGTCTGTGTGACTGCAAGTCACACATTTGCAACAGTTTCTGTGTTTGAAATTTACACTTGTTGTTTCCTGTATATTCCCCCCTCTGCTTCTTAGGTGACAATGAAAATCTAATGCTGGGGTGGGCTGAATGTGCTGGTATAACTTTGGCAATGTTGAAAGATCAGCTTTTTCTAATAAAAAGCTATGTATTCAGTGATTTTTAAAATGATGACAACAGGTATTTGCATAAGCTGAAATTGTAGTTTCAACTGTTCGTAATTGAACAGTAGCATAATTTACACTGAATTCATTTTACTTTGACATGAATGAAACTGCCTTTTACATTCTGTATGTGAGGGCAGTGAAGAAAAAGTGTTAAAGAGGTATAGAAACACTTAGGCTTATGTATTTAGAGTAAACCAGTAGTACCATTGCATAAAGACACGTTTACCCTGGTAATTTGTTGTACATGTTGTAGAATCATCCCTGTCTGGTAGGGTATTTGCCTTGGAGGTACTGCTGATTAGTCAATAGATATCAACACTTCTCCAGACAAGCTGGCTGAATGTATGAAAAACATTAATTCAAAAATATTAGTAATTGTGTATTTAAGGTGTCTATAGTGTGCATAAAAAAAGCTGTTGTGCTTACAGGTAGCTTAGAATGATATTTATTTGATTTTTGTGAAAGTAATAAAATGCAATAAGCATAAATCCTGATTTTATATAACCTGGAAGGATAAAGCAACTGGCATTTCACATGCTGGATTTGAGTTTTGTTTAATTAAAAAGGTGTTACTTACTTTACCAGTGTCTGTTTCAGAATTTTATAGCTCACTCATGCTTTGCTTCTTTTCCAGAATCTGCCTAGCCTTCTCAAGGATGATCGTTTTAAGGTCATGTTTGAGAATCCAGATTTCCAGGTGGATGAGCAGAGTGAAGAATTTAGGCTACTTAACCCACTTGTTTCTAAAATAAGTGAGAAAAGAAAGAGGAAACTAAAGATCTTAGAGGAACTGGAGGCACAAGAACAGGTAAAATATTTTCCATTTGGATTAGGAAAAATCCATAGGTTTTTTTTTTCTTTGTTTCAAGTATTCAGATTTTTCACCATAGAAAGAAGATGGAAGCAATGCAAGAATGTCTTATCAGCTATAGTAATTAAGTGTAAATTGTAATGTTATCCTAGTTTTTAGATATGAACAATATTGTGTCTACATGAATATAGGTTTGAAAAATATAAAGCATGTAGGTGGAAACAATTTTATAATATATCTTCTGCTTCATTTGCTGTTACTGCTTTTGTTTAAATTTTAGTTCTCTTCAGCTGCATCTATGTAAAAGCTGTCACGTACTCTACTTGCAGGAACGGTTTGAAAAGAAAATTAGTTGATGATCTTTATTTTATGCTATTTTTGTCTGCAGGAAGAGGAGGAAGAACCAGAAGGAAAAGCAAGTGATGCAGAAAGTTCTGAGAGTTCAGATGATGAAAAAGGCTGGGTTGAAGAGGTCAGGAAACAGCGCAAGCTTCTACGCCAAGAGGAAAAAGTAAAGCGGCGGGAAAGGCTCAAGGAGGATCAGCAAACATTATTGAAACCTCAGTTTTTTGAGATTAAGGAAGGAGAGGAATTCAGAAGCTTCAGAGACTCTGCCAAAAAACAAAAATTAATGAAGTAAGACTAATGTTCCTATTTTAATAGCTGGGGGTGGACAATTCTCAAGTATTTCTCTACAATGCAGGCCAGTGGCATTTTGGCTTGGAAGCACTTACTAGTAAAGCCACATCTGGCAATTCAGGAACATAACTTAAAGCGACATAGTTGTTGAAAGCTTTGTTTTGTAGTTAAACAAATATAATGTTTGAAGTATGGCAGAGAGACAACACAAATGAGATGAGTAAGGGATTAATATTCTGAGCCAGAGTTGGGGATCCATTACTCAGTCTTGGTGAACTGCTGCTCTCACAAATAACAATGCTGATGTCTGTGAGACTGGTTGTATTTCTCTAGTGTCAGTATGAAGTTGACAGTCTGGATGTTTTTCATCTGACCCTCTAAAAGGATGTAGAATATTGCATGACTAGTCATTGGTTTGGGGGTAAGATCAAGGTGGTAAAAGAAAAATTGTTTTGTTTTTATGGCATCCAGAAACTTTCAAAAAACTATGCTGTTCTTATACTGTTAGGTCCCACTATTTCTGATTTTCTTTTTGCAATACAAAAAAAATCAAACTTTTTTATTTTAATTTCTTTAAATTGATGATCAACTGAATTAATTGTGTACTATGTAAAGAGCATGTCAAACTAAAGGACTTGGGTTTGAGGCGCTTAATGCCTACAAAGCTCATTGATATTTTTTTTCAGAGGTGAGTTGAGCCCTTCGGAAGCTGAGATTTAATAGCCTTTTATCATTTGGACCGCAGAGACTAGTATTAAAACCTTGAAAGACAGTAGCTTCAAAGTTCTTGCAGCACACTGGATGCAGAGCAGAATTTTGACTAATGTTGGAAACAAGTTGCTGGGTTAGATGGATCTCGTAATAGCCATTATGTTATTGCTTAGAATGAAATGATACAGTCAAAGAAAAGGAAGTGAATAATATATATAACGGGACTGTTTCTTTATGTCACTAATGACTGACTCTACAACCTAGTTGTTTCATGATGGATTTTTCTGGAGATAAGTTAAGAAACATTTGATAAAAATTCAGCCTGTTCCTTAAACGTGGAGGTTTTTAACTGGAATTACCATGTCAAATGGTCTTTAAGTATTACTGAGACAGTGTTTCTACAGTAGTCTAGTAGTCTATGGTTTCTATGTTGTACCTGTAAGACCTCTTTAAATAGAAGTAGTAGTTTTTCTAAGTTGGGATTTATAGCAATTCTGCAGAATTGAATCCCAGGTTTTCCTTAGCTGTTTTTTATCAGCAAGCATTTTCACACAGGGGGTTTTTTGTTCTCTATACTGAATGTACCCACTCATTCCGGACTCTTTTAGATTTCTCCCTCAACTTTTTTTCTGATTATTTTTCTTTCTTTCTTCCAGAAGATGAAGCAACTTTTTGTCCTTTTGCCAGTTTTTCTTCTTTGTCAGGAGAAAATCCACTCTGGACACTCAGACAGAGTATTGTAGGTTAAGGATATTTTTTACATTGTACTTGGATTTATAGTCATGTTAGCAAGTGACTGGAAAGGAGCCTGAGACAGTGGTCAAAAGGCACTGTATTCTCATTGCCGTTGAAATACTTCCCTAAAAGGCAGTATGGCTGCAGCCTGCTCACATACTGTTCTTTTACACAAATTCAGCTGCTGACCTCTGAAGGCAATTCTCAAGGACATTCAATTTGAAGTATTAAGATTTCGTTCTGTTCAAAACATGGAAGGCTTAAATGTGAACAAGGATACTGAAAGTTAAGTAAATAAACCAAGACAGGTGTAAGGAAGGAAAACATTTAGAAAAAATTAGTACAGTGTGACACAGCACAAAGTAAATTCTTTCCTTTGGCGTATAGAGGGAGGGAAATCGTTGCTTCAGCTTGGGAAAAATGAAAGCAGATACCACAGACCTGTCCAGTGGATGGAGGAATATCGGTGATGACATAAACCGTGGAAAGACTTTTAAAAGACTGCTTTTAGGGAAAAGAAATTGTCTTAAGGTTTGCTGCTAATTCTCTGCAGAATATTTTGCAAGGTATGATGCATAATTAGGGTGGCTTAGGTTAGATGTGTCTGTGTGGTAGGTGCACAGATGGGATGTGATGTAAAATGTTAAAAAAAAAAAAAAAGAGAAAATGGAGGATAGAATAGGATGACAAAAAAAATGGATGTGACAGCATTACATCCTTCATGTTTTCTGAGTTGCTGTCATTGAATTGTCTTTCCATGATTTTTTTTTATTTTTGTCTAAGCAATTAGCTGTATACTCACTGATCCCATTTGTGCTCATCCAAGCATTGTTCTTAGTATGGAGCTTGATATTCCTTAAATTCTTAGCAGACGTTTTAAAATTAACAGCTGGTATCTGTTTCTTATAACGTATAGCTGATACGGTTCTGTAATCATAATGACTTAGTCTGTGTTGTGAGCTAGCGTGTTTGGTTAATAAGCATTTTTACATATTAGAATTTTATGAAGAAAATACCTAGATAATGTTTTCTGCTGCCCTTATTCAGTGATAACTAGTCAGCATAAAAATAATTAATTCAAGTAATGTACTGAAAATTGGAAAGACTGTAGTGGCATGTACAATCTGGTGAGGCTGGCATGTTTGTCTTTGATTTGATTTAGCCAAGTTATGGAATGATGGTCTGTGACCAATATAATTAAGTACCTTAATACCTTCACTATGCATTTAATGGCTAGGTGTTCTTTTTTTCTCTAATCGTATAATGTTCTACCTGAGGAAACAGTTTATGACTTATATAAAACTGGGTGTTTCTTTTGACATGTTCCTGACTCAGCATGGCTCCAAGCCCAACTTCTAAAGCAGTGGTGCATATTATAGATTTCTTCATAGACCAACAGTCTACACATTTCTTTGTGCAGGAAAGCTGCTTTACTCATGGTTGTAAAAAAACGCCTTGTCTCAAATCCGTCTACATTTCATTTTCCGCTTTTGGACTCTTATTCTTACACATGAAAACCTGCAATAATTTGCTTTGTTTACTTACCGCTTAAGTTCCTTACATAGTAACTTAAAAGGAATCCGTAAAAGGAAAGGGTTTTTATCAGTGGGCTAAGAGCTCTTTTGATTGTCTTGATGTCCCTTTAAAAGGTTTGTTATGGAAGTTAGAGCATGTCAGAATTAAGAACTCCCGTAGTCATACTTCACGAAGTATGACAGTCAATGTATATGTCTTCAGAGGTGGCCAAGAAAGTTAACAAAAGCTAACAAAAGCATAATTGGCATTCCTAGGTATTGCTAAAGTAAAACATCAAAAAAACTCCTCTCTATAATGAGGGGAAAAAAGAAGTGCCTGGGCAATTTTTTTGTTTGTTTTTTACTGTAGGACAGGGGAAGTTGCTTTTAATAACACTGTTAATGTATCCCTTGAATCAATTTGAGGATGATTTAAAAAAAACAAACAAACAAAAAAAAACCCAAAAAACCCCAAAAAACAACCTAGCTGTTGGAAATGTTTGTGTATCAGTGTGTGCAATTCACTATCATTTGAGGTCTGCGCATTTTCAGATAAATATAGCCATACCTGCAATTATTCAGTAGAATTGCAACTCCACAGTGTTTTGCTACTATCTCCTCATTTTAGTTTTTCTCCTGACAGAAGCAGTATCTAGGCAGTCATGCTAAATAATTGCTGGGTAGTAGCCATATTTCTCCAGTTCACTTTCAAAGGGGAGAAAAATGGGACTTCACTTGAATGTAGAAATCCCACCACAATGTCAGTGACTGATCTTCTGCCATAGTTAGCTCTAAGGCTTAGCTTGTCTTCCCGATTCGCACAGATGGAACAAGTTTTTACATGTACTCAATGAAAAATATACTACAGAAAAAAATACAATCAAAGTACCTAGTCATGAGAAATAAAGTAATTTGTGACAGTAATTTTTCATTGTTAATACAAAAAGTCTTTGCTACATAAAATGGCTCATTAACCAAAATTCAGCAGACTTCAGAGACTTCATGCATAGGCTCATCCATGAGCCCTTCATCCACAGAATTGCCATTGACTTGGTGGCTGCTAAGTGTCTGTATTTTTAGGATGACTTATTTTCCACTTTAAAACTTGTACAAAAAATGTCTCAGACCTCTTCAGAGAGATCTAGTAGGGCACTAATAGCAGTATCTCAAATTGCAGAAACTAATTTTGTTTACAGTTAGGCGGATGTTTTCTAAGCGCATCGCAGAGTGAGTTTGATCGTACAAGCCATGTCACACTCTCAGGTGGCACTACCTACTTGTAGGGCCCACGTTATAGAAGAAGGACAAGCCATGTTAGGACTCACAGGTGTCTTTAGGGAGGCTGGCTGAAGCCAGCACCATCCCTGCCTGCCTGCTTCACCCCTGTGCTGGAGGCTATGCGGGAACAAGGTGTATTTCCACTCCTCAGCTGTTCCAGTTTGCAACCCAGCTTATGAAGTCAGCAAGGGTGATATTAAATATCAGCTCACAACCTGGAGCAACTGGGGCACTTCCATGTGCCTTGGTTTTGTAGGGACATGAACTTCCAGTGGGGGAGAGCCGAAAGCAGTATCAGCTTCAGCCACAACAGCTACCTCCTCCTTAGAAATGCAAGAGTTCAGTGCCCAAGGGAGAGGCTCTATACCAGCTCGCTTGCAGAAACTAACTGATGAGCACCATGTGCTTGAAGGCGTATGCTCATGTGGAGCTCCTGTCTGGGGTCAGGGTCTGTCTTACTCATCACATTCACTTGTTTGCATAGGTTTTTTATTTAGAAAACTATTTGCATTAAACTGTCACGGGCACAGTGTCTGAACAGTCATTTGTATTTTGTCTTAAGTAGTTTGTCTCTATCAGTGAAGTTATTCATTTGGTGATGACTTCGTTCTGACGTATAGTCAAGATTATTTCCTTCCCTCAGAAGTGTTTCCAGTTCAGAAATGATAAGATTTCAAGAAAACTGGTTATATCTAGCCTTATTTTTTTTTATTTATGTATGTGTCTATTACTGCAGCTGAATATTCCTGACTTTTTCTAACATTTCATAGCAAACTATAGCAATAGAAGGGTGTGGTTTCTTTCTCAACTAGAGTCTTGTTGCTTTTTAGCAGAAAAAACAATGAACTTTACCTAAATTTTAAAATTGTTTCTACTGAAAGCAGTATCTGGAGGGAATGATTTGAACTTGTGTTTCTTTTCTGTTTACTGAATGTTTATTTTTTAGAGTTATGGCATTTCAAGGTTTCAGAGAAATTGAGATTAGTTTTGACTGCATTATCAGCCTTTATTATAGTAAAAAGATGGCAAGAATAGGGACTAATGTTAATTATTCTCTGCAGGAAAACTCTTGGAGATCGTTTAAAGCTTGAAGAAAAACTTGGCACGCTCAATGTGTCTGATACCACAGTAGGCAGCAAACAGGCAACATTCAAATTAAAGAAGGTGAGCTATATATATAATTTTTTAAGATAATACGCAAGTAACTTTAGTTTTTGCATGAAAGAACAGGAACTTTAAAACCAGCAAACAAATGTCCCTCTTCATTTCTTTATAAGCTGCCAACCCCTCTGTTTCTTGCCAAGAGACTGAAAGCCTCCAGTAGTACACTGTGTGTTTATACCCTTATAATTCAGGCAGCACTCATAAAATTTTGTGTTCCGGTTGAAAATACTGGCTTCCATCTTTTAATAGTTTATTTGCAGACATACAATCAGAAGCTTGTGACCTTACCTGACTTCTGTGCCAGGACCGATCAGATGTTGGTCTGCAGGTCCAAATGCAACCAGGATGCTGTAGGTGACAGGCTTTCTCTTGGTTGATAATGTTGCTAAGTCTCGGCATGAAAAAAAGCGGAGCTCCTAACCACTTTTTTCATTGAACTTGTGTAACACAGATCACAAGAATGAGCTCTGGTCCTGTTCTACTTGCCAAATTCCATTTGAAGTGTGTAGTTGACTGCTGCCTATCTACCTTTCCCAAAGGGTTTTTATTGCCCATCCTAAGGAATTTTGTAGATTGCAGACAGGTGATTACTTTATAGTGTGGGCAGAGTTAAATGCATGTGTGCATCTGCTACTGCTGTAGAACACTTAGGGATTTTTTGCTAGGTAACTGCTTTAGAACTGAGCAGAGGATGCATTATAAAAGCTGAAGACCCATATTAATTGATACTTGAGCTGACAAAATGTACTTAAGTTAAAACTGGTGTTCCTCAGGTCAGCCTTTTTGCTATAATACATTTCGTCTTACCAGTGGTCAAATATTATTCTCACTGGTAAAACTGCTGTCACAAGAATAGCTAAGTAGTTATTTGATTGTCACATGGGGTATGCCTGAAAAAAATTTTTTAAATAACCAAACTTACTGGACTATTTCTACCTTACTTGGTTTACCTGATTATTATCTATTTGCAGATGTCCTTTTTCATCTTTTTTTGATTCCTGTGTTGCTGGAATTTAAAATGTGTTGAATGTGGAATAAGTCACAGATTCCTCTGCAGTGCTGTGTAGGATAACCATTCTGGGGATCTTACTGACTGCTGTAACTGATATGTTAGTGTCTTGCAGCTAATACAATGGGCTTTGCAGGGCTTCGAAAGCACAGTCTTTTTTATGGTAGTTCCAGCTTAGTGCAAAGCCACAAGGTTTCTTGCAGTTGGTGGCGAACAATGAACTGTCACCTTTTGCTAACAGTTTTGTGAAGATTTGGGAGTAAGACAGATATGGCAATGGTTCAGAATGCCACTTTTACTTGATTCCATCAGATATGCTATAGCTTTGAGGTTTTTTTTAAATTATGTCGCTGCTAATGTATATGGATTTTTTTTTCTGACTGTTAACTGGTGTTGCTTTATTGAAATACGTATGTTGTGCTAATTTGCATTAAAAATATTTTTTTAAAAGTCTAATTAAAAGAAAAATAATGCATCCACAGTGGAGATCTTTTCCCCTATCAACAGAATAGCAAAATAAGACTTACAAGTCTTCTCTCAAATAAACAGACCCTATGTATATATTCTGAAGTCCTAGGGAATGGAGCAGGGAGAGCTAGGAAGAAGTCACCCTATGCAGTATGCTGTGTCTTGATGCTCCTTTTCAGAGGATGAAGAGATGAAGTTGGCAAGCTGAAGAAGGGATTTACGTGTTACTCGGATCATCACCTTCTGCTTTGTGATGCCCTTTCCTTAAAGTGCAGGTGTATTTAGGAGTAGGTAGAAAGATTTAGTGGGGGAGAGAATTGGGCTTCCATGGGATTGGTATCACTCTACTGTGTAAGTCGGTGGAATTGAGACTGAACTCGGCTGCTACAGTTGTGGTATGTTAGCAGCTGCCCAAATGCCCAGCAACCACTGACGGATCCAGTGATGAAATTGTTTGTCATTGATATTTCACATTTAGTTTTCAGGGGATTTTAGTATGGTTCCTACAGTCATGGCACCCTGTTCTTCAATTTCAGCATGCTTTATCGTAGCAAATAGATATAACAAAACAGCAGGGTTTCTAAAATACCTAAGTACTTACACTACTAGGGAGGTATAGAGGGCATCTAAAAAAAAAAAAAAAAAAAAAAAACAAAAACCAAAAACCAAAAAACAGGGTTTCTAAAATACCTAAGTACTTACACTACTAGGGAGGTATAGAGGGCATCTAAAAAAAAAAAAAAAAAAAAAAAACCAAAACCAAGAACCACAAAGCTTCAAATGCAAATCAAGATTATTCCATTTCAATATACTAGTGGTAGCAGTAAGCATTATATTAAGTAAGATTTCTCAAGACCGTTTCAGACAAAATCTGGAGACAGAGAGAAACTACTTACATTTTCACATAGTTGGGTTTCTTGTTTCCCTACTTGCAGTGGAAACAGGACCCAATAAATTTCAACAACATCTAAAGACCACTAGCTTTTATTACCATGATACTGGTATGGGCTTATTGCTACATTTGGTAAATTGGTTCACATCTCACCTCAGCCAAAATGTTGTCTCTGCATGCAGATCTCTAGCTCAAGTTTAAATAGTACTTTAATGGGAGATTCAGGAAGAGGTGGGCTGATGTATGAATGCTGCTGATTACAGAGTTAGATGCAGTGGGGATACAGCTGCATATCCAGTAATTCTGTCACACTGTTAATGCACTTATCCTGTGCTGCTGTTGAAACTGCTGTAATTGCTGGAGTACTTCAACATGGACTGTTGCCTGAGCTTGGCTAGTTCAAGTCTGCTAGTTCTAGTTTATGCTTAGTTTGAAGACAGGCCTTAGTCTTCCACAGAAAATAGTTTATGGCTGTAAGAGCCATTTCATCTATGTGGTATGTAAATGAAACCCTTTCAGCATGTTTTTTGATGAAGAGGAAAAACATTAATAGAGCATGTGCCACAGGAGCAGAGATTTTAAATTCTTTTCATGTGGAAAGTCTTTCTAGAATTGCATACAGCATATCAGACACTTTCAAGAACCTCTAAGAACACTTTTTAGAAAACCTGTATGTTTCAGCAAATTTAACTAATTGTTCTGTCTTTTTAAACTGCATTTGTGCACATATTAAATGTGGTAATACTAGTTAACCAAAGTAGATACTAAATAGCCTCAAATTGTGCTCTACCTTCCTAAGGGCATTAAAACATAAATTCTGGAGTGTAATTTTACAGCCTATTGTTAGACATTGGTTTTCATCTGAAGTACATTATTTTATTCACTGTTTTTCAATTTCTTTGTCTTAAATGTTTGCTCTGAATTACTTAGAATGATAATGCCTAGGGATACCTAGAATCAACAGGTACCGTGTAAGATAAGATAGCATGGGACCATTTACAGTAACATTTCCAGATTTCCCTTATGGAATTCTGACTTGATATGTAGATACTTGAACAATGAGGTGATATGTAAGTTTACAAGAACCTAAGTCTATTTTTGTTTTAATATTCCAGTCAGAGCAGCAAAAGAAACAGCAGGAGGCTGAGAAACTACATCGTCAAGAGAGGAAAACTCTTAGGCGTTCTGCTAGTCATCTCAAGAGCAAACGTGGAAGAGGACGACTGTTTCGTTGACTTATTTTATGTTATTTTTTAAGAAACTTCTTTTATCTCATTTTTCATTTGAAAAAGGGACTTTTTTAAATAGGGACAGAGTACCAATGTATTTGTATTTTGATTCATTGATGGACACAAAAACCAGAACGTGCTAAACCCTGTGTTAATTATTGAAAAGTTCATGAAAGTAGAAGTATTGACCAAAGGACACTATGAGTATGGTGTATTATAAGCTCCAGTGTGAATTGTGTTTGTGCAGAAATCACCAGCAACTGGTTATTGTGTAACCCTGGATGTTTTCTGTACAAGAATTTATGTATACAACGAGGCTGCCTGTCCTTTATTTAACTGAAGAGCTGTGGGATTTTGCTTTCTGAAATCTTTTATTTGTGGCTGCTTAGATAGAAGATCAAGGGTAAGTTATTTTGTCTAAAATCTTAACTTTACAAGGGCACAAGAATTTTTTCTTTTATGGTTCTTGAAGGATGACATACAATTGTGTTTTTAAAAGCTGACATTGGCTTTGTATTCTTGGGTTGCCTTAGTAGGCAGGAGGAGGTACAAATGTGTGTCATGAGGGCATTTGAGAATGCCTGATTTAGGTTCCTCTAAGTCATTCTATAAGGAAACCTCACTTGCCACACCGATGTACAAAGGGGAATCTCTGAAGGGTAGTCTTATTAAGTTAAATTTTATGAATATTGCCTTTACTCAGAATCCTTAGGACCAGGTTTAATATGTTTTGGTAAGCCAGCCATAGTTCAACATAGATCAAGTGGTGTATGTTCACATAACAAGCACATTAAGGCCATGCCAGTAGCCTCCTATTCTTCAAAAAGTTAGTTTAGTTAAATAACTTAAGAAACCAGAACCTGTGTTAAGGAAATGATTGATTCTTTTCTATGTCTTCTTTTTGATTTCCAACAGAATGCTTGTTGCTAACCAGGATACAGCGTCTCTTCTTGATTTTTATCTTGCAAACCCATCATTGAAATAAGTAGTTCACTACTTAAGCAAGGAAATTAATTTTTACCTTTGATCCTAAAGGAGCTTTGTTTGTTGCTTTTTAAAAGGCTTTATAAATTGTCTTTTTGCTAAATCCAAGAAACTATGAACTTTGGATCCAACAAGAATCAGTGAAGCTCCCCATCACTGTAAATCTTTTGAAGAGACTTGGAGGTTCTTAAGTGTTTTGCTTCATAAACCAGAGAGTTTATTAATCTGGTCAGGTCTCCTGGACAGTATTTACCATAGAATTTTTGCAGTTATTTCAGTAAAAAGCTTTGTTTCTCGTAGCCTGATGCTTTTTTTTTTTTTTTAAGATGGTAGAATAATCAGTCACACGGTTAAATTTATCTTCTTCTCCCTGTTGTAATTTTACCTGCTTTAATTCTTTGCTTCTGTTTTCAATTGTATCATTTCCTTTAATTTAAAAATGTCTTTTGCACTTGATATTTTCATCTTTAAAACGTACATTGTAATCATCACCTCTCTGTCTTTGTATTCAACTAAAGGGTGAGTCTCTCAATACCTATTTTTTACCTCTGGCTGTCAAATTTCTGCATTGTCCATGAGCTTCTCATGCTTTCTATTTAACACAGAACTATCCAGTATTCCAGTGTCAGTATCACCCATGCTGTATATCAAGAAGTGCCATTATGACTTCTCTTTAGCCACTGAGAAAATGGAATGCAGCTGTGATTGCTGCAGGGTATGTCCCTCTTTTTGGAGTCTTGTCTTTTGATAACATTCAAGCCTTTGAAATCCAAGTGTAATGACAAGTTAAAGTTTGTACTAGTGCAATGTCTTTCCCCTGGAGCACTGTGTTATCTCTTACAAATTATCTGCCTGCAATTCAGGTATGTTCGCTTCATATACGTGGCTATATTGAATGGGGAAAGATTGATGGTGGAAACTTGCCACTGTTCTGGTTGATATAGGGAGAACTGGGAATTAGATGGACATAACTGGCACTGTAAGAACAGGAGTTAGGAGTTTGCTCCTTCTCATGGTAGGCCTAAATCCCATTATGTTTGATCAAGAGCTAGAGGTGCATTTATGCTTTAAGGCATCCTTATTTCAGCAATGATTTTGCTGGCTATCGAGAGCAGTAAAAAAAAATCTGGTTCATATGCGGGACAGTAGTGAACTGGGTTTGAAATGCTTAATTTTCAGCTTAAAAAAAAGTGTATTTCTTCTGGTTCAAGATTCTCCTGACTGACACTGGTTTAGGTCAGTGTATGTTTTGTTTTTCATGCACTTATGAAGTACCTTGTTATGATAATACTGATCATGTATTTAGGTTGGAGCCTGTGTGATTAAAGGAATATACTTGGTACTGTTAGAGAGAAGGCACATGCAAACTGTCCTTAGCACACCATTTATTTCACATAAAATATATTTGGGATGCACTTTAACCGGTGTTTAAATATATACTAGGCATAACCAGTGAGATGCCTGGAAAGATAGGGTGGTGACTGTGATTTGAATAATATAGGAAGCAAATGTGGAAACTGGAAGACAGGTTTGGTGTACTTTTCGTAACTTCGGTTGTTTAGAAGATACTCTACAATAGTCCCTACTGTTTGGGGTTTCCAAAGCACTGCAGGCTTTGCCTGTAAGTGTGCTGTATTTTTATGTGTAATGTGTATAAACTCTCTCTATACAGAATCTTGCTAGAATAAGTCTAATTAGAGATAGAAGTGCGAGTAGTAGATACCAGACATTATGGAGAAGAATCCTAGAAAATTGGAGGTCACAGATAGCATTTGTGAATGAGAACATTAGAGTTGGCTCATGAACCTGAATATTTGTGAATGGCATACGTAACTTGACCGGTTGTGATGTGCCCCTTCAAGGAGGGAGACTGTACTCTGTTGTAAACATGTCTGCTTGTCGAAGGCGAAAAGGCAAAGCTCTATGCAGTCTCCATCTTACCATAACTGAATTTGTGCTCTACTAGATAACCAGTGGCTGATGCAGATTTTGAAAGACCAGAGAGAAGTAACCAGAAATAGGTCTGCAGTGCTGAAGGTGTTTTCCTGCTGTGGCTATATTCTTGAAGAAAGCACACATCATGCTAATACAGGCAAATGGATACCCAGCAGGTCTCTAAAACAGAAAGATAGTATATAATTTTAAAGTTCATGGAATCGTTTAGGTTGGAAAAGACCTTTAAGATCATCAAGTCCAACCGTTAACCTAGCACTGCCAAGTGCACCACTAAACCATGTCCCTAAGCACCACATCTACCCCTCTTTTAAATACCTCCAGGGGTGGGGACTCAACCACTTCCCTGGGCAGCCTGTGCCGGTGCCTGACTACCCTTTCTGTGAAGAAGTTTTTCCTAATATCCAACCTAAACCTCCCCTGGTGCAGCTTGAGGCCGTTTCCTCTTGTCCTATCACTTCTTACTTGGGTGATGAGACCAACCCCCACCTCGCTACAACCTCCTTTCAGGTAGTTGTAGAGAGCGATAAGGTCTCTGGGCCTCCTTTTCTCCAGGCTAAACAACCCCAGCTCCCTCAGCTGCTCCTCATAAGCCTTGTGCTCTAGACCCTTCACCAGCTTCGTTGCCCTTCTTTGGACATGCTCCAGCACCTCAGTGTCCTTGTAGTGAGGGGCCCAAAAAATTGAACTAATATTTTTTTCTCGTGCTGCTTTTTCCCATGAACCAGCAGCTGCTTAGAATCAGTGGTACCCAGAAAAGTGGATTTCCTAGCCTTGATCTGACTATTAAATCTTTGAAAGAGGGCAGTGTTCTTTATATGTTGCTCACTTTGGTCAGGAGGAGTGTTAGATGTTTGGATTTTGCGAACAGTGAGGCATGGCTCTTCAGGGTGTCCAGCACTGGAACTCTGGAACACAGGTGAGCTATAGTTGGCAGGCTGTGCCAAGCTGCCTGGCACGCATTCGAGCCCAAGAGCTTTTTGGTGAAAGAGGGATGAAGATTCATTGCAAGCCTTGCTTTTAAGGTATCAGGGAGCAGGAGGAGTGGGCAGCTCTATGAGGGAAGGCAGGCTGGGAGCTCAGGGTGACAAGGCAGGCAGGGGCAGTGGCCTCCCTGACAGGAGGTGCAGTCCTGCAGTTATCAGACAAGAAGAGCAGTAGGGTGACAGCCATGAGGTTCAACCAACAGACCAGACAGACAAGTCCGTAACGACAAGGCGGGTCCAAGGTCAAGTGAGCAGGTTGGTATCTGTGAGGTACTTGGGCAGGCATGGGCACACCTGCAGCATAGCTTAGGTGAGGACTAAGGGTGATGGAGTGCCCAAGCAAAGCAGGGGCAGGCCTCTGGCAAGGCTGCTCAGAGCTGTTTCTCACACAGCTCTTCTTATAGCAGTCTGGTCCCCAGTTGTCTGGCCATACTGTTACCAGAGCTGGCCTTCAGCACAGACAGCCAAACCCTTGGCCAGGTGGGGAGAGGCAGCAGAGCCCTAAAGTCCCACATAGGGACCTGGCATGAAGCGTGTTTAGAATCTTGAGATTGATAAAGCAGGTTCATGTCTTTGAACAGCTATCTGGGGGAATATTTTAGAGCTTCAGTAGAAGCTGGCGTATTAATGCAACATCATTGCAACCGATTAACTATATAATGCAACCAAAGCAGGCATTTCTTAGGTATTAACCTGATTACATCAACCTTTTTTCAGTCAACAGTACTTCATTTCCCATACTGAGGAATCAGTATTGATCCAGTATTGCTATTCCTAGAAGCTGAGCAGCTGCTGGGATCCTTTTTGACATTTAAGGTTCATACTCTAAGGTAAGAGTGACCAGATGCTGTAGCCTCGTGGAAACCCTGATTGTTTCATACATATGAGAAGTCAGTCATGAGAATCAGGTTGAAAACTCCCTATTAAAAAATGTATGGATAGTGGTTAAATGTGAGTGAAATACTAGCAAGATAAAGAAAAGACCTGGATCTGATGCATCTCCTATACTTCATTACTTTCTTACTGCACAAGTAATATAGTTTACTTCAGATAGGTTATTAGTCATTGAACAAACATTGAACCAAAACTATTTGTGTAATGTTCTTTCCAAAATGCTATTACCAAGCCAAAAAGCATGCTGCGTTCCTGTGGCTGGTATAATTGTCTGAAATGGAGAGCATCCATCAGTTTCTACAAAACAATGGAAGAATTTACTGTACCACACTGCTGATTTTTAATATCTGAACAAAATAGTGAAATATGATTTAAAATATTCCCCTGCATAAATAGCAAGTGTGTGTAAAATAAGTATACATGTTTTTATACTCATAGGGTTCGTTTATGTATGGAGCTTAAAGTAGGTATGATTTGAGATTACCAGCTTCAGGAAGGGTTGCGAGGGAGGATGTAACTTTTCAAATTACTCCATCTTGCTTTGG